ACTAAGAAAAGCAGCTTACAAAACCGGATGCACAATATTACTATGTACTAAGGTATTAATGGTGGTGATCCCTGAGAGAGTGGGAATGTGATGTTTCTTTTTTAATTCTGCTTTTTTGTGTGTGTTCTGATTTTCTACATTACATGTATATTATTTCTGTAACTATAAAAAAAAGTTATTTTAGTAAAACCTTTTTTAAAATTATGACATATAGGTGGACTCACAAGCATACAGAACCTGACCCTCCAATATGCAATTTCAGAAATGCAATTTCAGCTGAGAAAAAATCACTTTAATGAACCTGAATCCAGACAGAAGCTGGAGACAGACATATGACCCTCTGTGGGAATCAACATACTTTCTCTTGGATCCACATAGATATTAATGACTCTAAACAAAGCACTAAAGAAAAGGAAATTGAAGAGTCTTTCTCTAAACTAATTTCTTTTCTCTGATCTCAGCCTATGAAAATGTCCAAGTCTCTCCATCCTAAATTAAACACGATGTCCCCATAGTTCTATCATTGACATTCTTCTTTTTCTTTTCACTTTATATATTCCTATAAAGTAGACAATCATCCACAGTAATGACTCCCAAATTTACTTCATTCCTGATGGTTTCTTTCCTGATAGCTACCCTATGCATGGATAGGTTGCCTGCTAAACATTTTCATCTGAATTTTCATGGGAACCTAGAATTCAACATACCCAGGACTAAATGCATGTTTATTTTTATAAAACATGTTATTATTATATATTTCTTATCTTTACCAGTTATATTGAAGTCAGACACATGATGGTCATCCCGAAGTTCCCTTGTTATCCCGCCACCCACACACATACCTAGTCAGTCACAGATGACCTGTTCATCTATTTATGTAGAAAGTCTATGTAGCTACTAAGTCTAATAAGTGGGTGTTCAAGGTTTCAGGATAAAAGATCAGTGTCCAAAAATCAATAGTATGTCTATATACTAGCAACCATTGGAAATTGTAATTAAAAATATAATTTAGGCCCTTGCCGGCTTGGGCTCAGTGGTAGAGCGTCAGCCTGCGGTCCGGAGAGACCCGGGTTCGGTTCCCGCTAAGGGCATGTACCTCTGTTGCAGTTTGTCCCTGGCCCTGGTTGGTCGTGCGGGTGGCAGCCACTCGATGTGTCCCTTTCATGTCGATGTTTCTCTCTCTCTTCCTCCCACTCTATCTGAACAAAGAAATAGGAAAATGTCCTTGGGTGAAGATAAAAAAATATATATATACATATATATATATATATAATTTAGAATAGCATAAAAATATAAACTACTTACAGATAAATTTGTTAAAATATGTATAAGACCTAACACTGAAAATTACAAAATATTGAAAAGAGAAATTAAAGAAGGTCTAACTAAATGATGATTTATGTCATGTTCATGAATAAGAAGACAATTTTAGTTAAGGTGGAATTTTTCCAAACTGGATGTATAGATTCAAAATAATTGCAATCAAAACCTCAGCAGCTTTTTTGTAGAAGTTGACAAGTGAGTCTAAAAATCACTTGGAAGTGCAAAGGAGCTAAGACAGCCAAAATAACACTCCACAAGGAGAACAAAGTGCTTCCACCTCACTACAGTATCACAAAACTACAGTACTCAAGACACAGTATCAGCTCCCAGACTTTAAAAAATTGACCCATGGAATAGAATAGGAATAGACCAGTACACATACAGCCAATTGATTTTCCACAAAGCTTTAAACACAATTTAGTGGATAGTCTCTTTAACAAATAGATATTCTTTTTAACAAATATATATTTAACAAGTGAACTTTAATTCGTACCTTGTACCGAATACAAATATTAAGTCAGAAATATACTATAGATACACATGTAGAATCTAAAACTATAAAATTTCTGAAACAAAACACGAGACTATCTCTGTGCCTTGTGTTAGGCCAAGATTTCTTAGATAAGATATCAAAGGCACAATCCATAAATAAAAAGTGAACTACATCAAAACAAAAACTTCTGCTCTCCCAAAAAAAATCTGTTAAAAGGACAATAAAAACCAAACCACAGGCTGGGAGAAATTATTTGAAAATCTCATGTCTGATAACGGACCTTTCTGCAAATACATAGAGAACTATTAGAATATAATAAGGGGTGGGGGACAACAACAATAACAAATGGGAAATGATTTAAACACTTTGCCAAGGAAGATTTATGGATGGCAGAAGAGCACATGTTCTACATCACCTATTATTACGGGAAGATAGGTTAGAACCACAATGTGATACTACACACCTATTAAATGTCTAAAATTAAAAAGACTGGCCTACCAAGGATTTGGGGGACATGGACCCACTGGAACTCTGATAGACTGCTAAAAGGGATGTAGATGGGCACCACTGCTTTGAAAAACGTTTGACAGTTTCTTAAATTAAACACCCATTTACTATGTAATCCAGCCATTCCAATCCCAGGTATTTACCCAAAAGAAATGAAAGCATATGTACGTAAAGAGGCGTGTTCGTGGATGTTACAGAAGCATTACGTGTAATAGCCAAAAATGCGAAACGAGCCAATGCCCGTCAACAGGTCCATGGACGTAAAGTTTGTGGTTCACCCGTACAATGTATTAGCGAAGGAATGAACTACTGATACAGCCAACAACTTGGGTGAATCTCATAATTATGCTGTTGAGAACATCTGGATGGTAAACATGAGTGAACCTCATTAAGGTCTCTAAATTTATTTTATTGTGGACACTATTACAGATGTCCCCCATTCCCCACACCCTTTACCCACCTCCACCCAGCCCTGCACCCCCTCCCCTGGCCTTCACCACACTTATCTGTGTCCACGGGCTATGCATGTATGTTCTTTGGATAATCTCCTCACTTTCATCCAGCCCCCCTCCCCACACCCCAGCCCTCTGACCGTTGTCAGTCTGTTCCATGCATCCGTGCCTCTGGTTCTGTTTCAGACATCACTTTATTTTGTTCATTAGATTCTACATATTAGTGAGATCATATGGCTTTTGTCTTTCTCTGACTGGCTTATTTTAGCATAATACTCTCCAGGACCATCCATGCTTTCACAAAAGGTAAGATTTCCTTCTTTTATATAGCCGCATAGTATTCCATTGTGTAAATGTACCATGACTTTTTTTTAATGTTATTGATTTTTTAGAGAGAGAGGAAAGGAGAGATCAAAACATCAATGTGAGAGAAAAACATTGATTGGCTGCCTCTTGCACACCCCCTACTGGGAATCAAGCCCACAACCCAGGCATGTGCCCTGACTGGGAATTGAAGAGGGACCTCTCAGTCCATGGGACGACACTCAATCCACTGAGCCACACTGGCTGGGCTACCACAGCTTTTTTATCCCCTCATCTACTGATGGGCACTTGGGGAGTTTCCAGATCTTGGCTATTAGAAATAATGCTGCTATGAACTGACTGGTGTTTTGGGATTCATAGGATATATTCCCAGAAGTGGGACCGCTGGGTCCAAAGGCAGTTCCATTTTTAATTTTTTGAGGAAACATCAGTCTGCATTCCCACCAACAGTGCACAAGTGTTCCCTTTTCTCCACATCCTCGCCCAGAGGCTAAGAGTAAAGACCCACTCGTCCTGCAGACACCCAGGACAAGCCTCACATGTAAGTTCCCTTGCTTATTAAAACTGCCCACCTACCAATCTGGAGCGTCTGCCTCTTTCTTTGGCCTTACCTTGCCCTCTGTCTACGGGGACCAGTTTCAGATTTCACCCAGGAAGTTCCTGAGGTTTTGAACCAACACATCTAAATAAATATGTCTGCATGGTGATGAGTCATAATTATGGGGTCATTGAGCTGAGGACCCCACCTGCCTCCAAGTCAGTGATAACTGTACTAAACTCTTTGACATCCCAAGCAAAAGAACATTCCAATTCTCATTGTTTGCTATCATTAATTTTCATAGATAAAAGCCTTTTGGGGAATTCTTAATAATATTTATTAGTGAGTAAGCACATTCAAATATGTGAACACAGCCTGTGGCATGTGTTTTGGTGGACAAAGGACTCTAACCCTGGATTTGAGCTCCATCCAGCTCAGCAACTTTTAAGTGTCCAAAATTACTCACAAACAGGATTTTGTCCCATGCAAAAATCTTGTGTGTACGATAAATAAATAAGATGTTAATACAGTGGTTGGCACATGGTAAGCATTTCATAAATGATAGCTGCTACTAGCTATTTTTATACAAACACTCAAATAGTTTTCAAAAGATTTTTTTATGTCCTAGCTCAAATTACAAGAAGTTTGGTTTATTTCTTTCTTGGACTTATAGCAAAATAGTCCTCAGACTGTGCTCTATATAATAATATCCTACTTAGAAGCCTTTATTGACTGCACTGAAATGGTAATTTGGGGCAGCATGTAAAGTCTCCCAAGCGGGTAAAAATATGATCATGATTTTTCTGTGCCATAAGAAAAGTTAAAATACTTTCTCATTTCTGAAATGGGCTGTTTCTTAAAAAAAACATGTGCACTTATAGAAAAAAATATACACATAAAGCATTCAAAAATGAGACTCCAGAAGGAAAAAAAATTTAACTTTTCATTAAAAGTGTTAGAGGTTTCTAAATTAACTTAAAAAGAATGGTTTCCCCTATATTGAGGACTTAACACCCCAGATTTGCTACAACGTATTGTCGGTGTTGTATAGAGGATTTCGTTGTGGATGGAAAGGGACAAGGCTGTACTGTGCTCCCTGGAGGAGGAATTCATGGTGTGGCCTCTTTCCATCTCTCCGGCCGACGCCATCCACCAGCTGATAGATTTACCAGCCTGCTTTTGAGATCTACTTGGAAGCAGGCCAGATTTCCCATGAAAATCAAAATGTCAGAAGTCCAGGTAATTTTCATTCTCGACGCTCCCCTAAAGTTGATTTTCTTTTTTATGATAATACCACAGAGGACATTGTAGGTCAGAAATCAAGCAATATGTCCACATAAAAGTTTTGGAATGACACTAACCTCCTCCTTCTGATTCATATCCATTTACTGCCTCAGGTTCTTTCAGTAAAGATTGCTCCACACGTTCCATTTGCAATCAGAATTTTTCAGATGACTCCTAAGAGGCTAAATAATTTTTTTTAATTCTTCATGGATGAATAATACATATTATATTATAAAATGTATAGCATTTTCTTACAGCTGGTCCAGTCATATTGAAATTTGTAGCCAGAGTTGTCACCATCTGGAAAATGATACCTGACTGGCCCTCACGTGTACACATAGTGTACATAATATCATTATGTTCATTTCTCTTAACTTTTAATTTATCAATTCAGTATTCTTTATTTGCTTTTTAAAAATTCTTCTACTTTGTGTTTGTTTGCTAAGGCTGCCATAACCAAGTACCACAAACTGGGCGGCATAAACAACAGAAATTAATTGTCACGAAGTCCTGGAACTAGAGTCCAAAGTCAAGAGGTCAGCAGAGTGGTTCTTCCTGGGCTGTGAGGGAGAATCCGTTCCATGCCTCTCCTCCAGCTCCCGGTGATTTGCTGGTAACCTCTGAGGGCCCTTGACTTGTATGAGAACCAGCCTGCTCTGTCTTCAGCATCGCATGATGTTCTCCCCTGTGTGTACCTCTGTGTCCACATTTCCCCTTTTTATAAGGACGTTTAAGGTGTGACCCTAATGGTGTTATCAGAGAATAACAGGGCTCCTCTCTCACTTCCCAAAGGGGTAGGACTGGGAGCAGAGCGAAAAGCCAGTGGTCGCCAGATAGCTCTCCCTCTCTCCCTCTCCCCTCCAGTCTGCAAATGTAGAAATCAATCCTGCCTGGGTATTTGTGATCAGAATATACGAGTCCTAACTTCAACCCAGCGTTATTTTTCCCTAGTGTTACGTTGATTAATATGTTTCATTCTACCTATTCCTTTTTCTCCTTTTTGACATATCCCTGTTCCCCACATCTTAGAACACCTGCTGCTACCCTCCGCATCCCTTCTGTCTCCTCATGATTTCATTCTTTCTGTATTTTGAAATGTGTCTCCCACTTGACCCTCCAGGCCACTAATGCTGATATTTATAGTGACTGTCTCCTTAATTCATTTGCTCATTTTTTATTATTACACTACAAATTTTTCTATTCTCTTTCTCTCTCCCTCTCTCTCTCTCTCTCTCCCCCCCCCCTTTTCCCTCCTTCCCTCCTTTCCTCTTCTTCCCTCCTTCCCTCTCATTCTCTTCTTGTTTTATCTCAAGGTGACTATTGAGTCCCCTTAAGATTATAATGATTTCTTTTCATACTTATGAGCTTATTCTCATGTCAAGCTATAGGGTCCCTGGGTGTGATAGGAGCCTACAAGCGGCAGGAAGTACTGCTGCTCACAAACAGGGATGTGAAACCTGGAGACACGTCAGCTCCTTCTGAAAACATCAGCAGAAATCCTGATGGCTGCTCTCTTGATGGAAAGAGGATCACAGTGACCCTCAAGCCTTCACAGTTAGCAGCAAGTCCTGCGTAGAATGGCACGGCTTTTCCTCTGGAACGATGCACAGACCCCAGCCGTACAATCTCTCTTCAGGAACAAAAGAGTTCAGACTCTCACTGCAGGTCAACGGCCCGTCCGAGAACAGAATCATCCTAAACTTCCAGCCCCTGGCAGCTTGGAGTCTCACATACACCCTGCAGCCGGAGCTGGTCTGGGCAAAACCAGTTGCTGGCTGGGTTTGTGATGGAGGTGGGCGTCAGGAGCAGGGACATGTCAGGCCACCATCTCATCAGGATTCTGCTAGCACTGAGGCAGATAGCAAAGATAAAAACCAGAGGAAACAGGCCACACAGACTGAAACAGCCCATATTATTTGTTTTATGCCTTATCACTTCCCACAAAAGATTTAATATGACTTACAGCAGAGCACTTGCAATAAAAAGCAAAATGTAAACAGAGATTAAAAATGAGAACCAAACAAAATATAATTTAGAAGAGGAGATCTGACAAGAAAAAAAAAGTACCTTTTTTATCCAGAGCTTGATTAATGGGCGGTTGCCAGGGACACTGATTCCTAGTGAGTAATAAAGCAGCATTAAGATATGGTCACACTATGTAAATTTGTCCCCTTCCCATTAAGGTAGATGAAATGAATTCCAAAACCCCTTGCTGTACGACTTTATCTTTTGAGTATTTTTTCCCTCCTCACGTATAAATTCAGTGAGTTGGATGTCAGTGAAATGAGCCGAGGTTTTAAAACCAAATTAAGTCAGACATAGGTCTATTTATGGAGCATGAAATATATAATTGTCTTGGAACTCTATAATTCTATAATGTCTGTAAGTTAGAAAATTATAAAAGAAACAGAAATATGAGAACTACATAAAATAGGAAAGAATTTGATAAATATTTTGGATAATATTAATGAATGAATGTGATTCTGTCTGCTTTAACTTCTTAGAAAAATATTTCTCCCTGCCTTCACTATATATTTTTTAAAATTTCCATCTGAAAAAGCATCTTACTAAACCTGCCTATTGAGTTCTATATCTCAGTCTGGCTTTACATGTAGCACATTCAGTAACAAGCCTTGTTAAAGCTAACCCACTTTTACCTTCTCCAAAAACTAGAATCTTAACTACAGTAATTATGGATGATCTACCTAGATCAAGCACCTACCTATGAAAATATCTAGAATAATGTTTAAATTCATATAATTTAAAGAAAAAATGATTTGAGAATTACTAATCACATAGTTGAAATAAAAAATTTATTACATATTAATATACAGTTAACTTGAAGATGATCATAAACAACTTTCTCTAAATAATTCTCCAATTTCATCCTGATATTAACCACAAGTTCCATCACAAGGTGATGCTCAATCCACTAAGCCACATTGGCCTGGCCCAAAAGTTCCTTCTCAACAAAAAAATTAATCTTCCTTATCCAGCTTGGCAAAGAGAATAGACTCTGTTTTGATTCAGTTTTAATATCTCTTCTTCCAAATTTTGCCAGGAATCTTGTTATTTGAGTCTGTGATACATTTTTTAAAAATATGTTTTTATTGATTTTTTTAAAGAGAGAGGAAGGGAGAGAGAGATAGAAACATCAATGTGAGAGAGAAACATCAATCAGCTGCCTCCTGCACACCCCACATTGGGGATCGAGCCTGCCACCCAGGCATGTGCCCCAACTGGGAATCAAACCAGGACCTCTCAGTCCATGGGATGATGCTCAATCCACTGAGCCACACTGGCTGGGTGAGCCTGTGATAATTATAACATATTATTCTGAAACTCTGCAAAAGCACAAGGTTCATAGAAATGACTAAATCTCTATTAATTTCTGTTGGTGGATGATGACTTCTTTCAATGTATTGTGTATTAAAGGTCATTTCTTTCTCCAAACTCAGCTCTAAGCTCTTTGTCTCCTTTGACCATGTAATTATCCTCCTACACCTCTCTTCTCTGCTCTGGATGGAGTCAAAAACTCCTCTGATAAGAGATACCTCTTTATTGGGGTCCAAGCAGGAAACAGCTCACCCAGTAAGCACAAAAATCCTTCAATGTCACTATCTATGAAATATGCTTACGTAGCCCCATGTGCTGCAAGATATCAGAGCTGTTATGATTAAATGATCTAATTCCCCAAAATCACATGGCCACATACAGAGCTGTAGACCAGAACATTATTTCATATTTATAGAATAATATTTAAAGTCCTTTCTCACAGGCTCCCTCATTTGGTGGCTGATAAAATCCTGTGAAGCAGATAAGACATAATTATCCTCATCTTATAGCTGAGGAATCTTAGAATTTTAAATCTGTAAGTCATAGCAAAAGTCATCATCCATGAAGTCAATTTATGTAGGTTCTTCATCTATTTGTCTTAGCTTTCTCCAATCTCATAAATCAGTTATGAGGATTAAATGAGATAATGTATAAAAAATGATGGTATGATACTGGCATTTTACTACTGGATCTCCAATTAATATCATTTATCTTCCTTTTACCCTCTCTCAGAGATCTGAGTCTGACCACTCAGCCAATAAGAAGCAGAATTCAGAAGAGAACCTAATTTCTTAACTTAAGTAGAAAAATATCTGTTCGGGGGGCCACAAGTTTCCTCCATCCTTATACTACACAGCTTGGCCATAAGGTAAACATTTCTCCCACAGCGACATAGGGGCAGATCCGGGTTTAACCCGTGTACAATTTGAAACTTCCCACTTTAAGAAAATAATACCAAACTGAAAATATAAGATTAGGTATAAAAGTGCTACTTATTTAGAATGAGAGAAGTCATAGGTTATAAATGTTAAAAAAAATGGACTAAAAAAGGAAAACATTACGAAGTCCAGAAAAATAATATAACATTTATCAACTACCTGAAAAAATCTCTATAATACATTTTTCTACATTTCATATAATAATTTCGAAATATTTTCCAAATAAAGACACGAGCAGAATAAGCCAGTCTTTTCTTTAGCATAGTTGACTGTTTCACTTTATTGAAGGCCATTTTACCTGCCAGTTGCTTGCAGCTGCCTCACTTCAGGAAGGCAGGGTGTACCAGATGCTCAGACGTGCCATCTGCTGTATGAGAAGCCATAAAATAGGCAATTTCACCGATTTGTCCTGTTGCTACAGATTTGTGTCCTATAAACACAGGAACTCTGATAAATTCTATTTCATGTAATTCTCTCCAAAGAATGCAGTGTTGCTGACTAGTAAAAATCTATGCTTTAAATAGGTATCAATATGAACTGAAACTTTCACTTATAATTATACATGTCTGAGTGTTGGGAAAGTTTTCCACCGACTAGCTCCTTACAGTCCAAGCTTTGTTTCATCCCTTTTCCTACCAACATACTTCTGGAGCTGCTTTATGTTGTTGAGGAGAAAAAACTTTTCCTCTAACCCTCTAGGTTCTTCTGGCTAGTCTAATAATTCAATTGATACAAGTCAAATTCACAGGAGAAAAAAAACAAATTTAATTTGTCTATACAGAGGCCTCATAGACATGGGACCTAAAGAAATGACCAAATAAGGCAGCTTTTATACTTCTTACATAAACAAACAATAAATTTGTAAAGACTGACAAGACCTTAGTGAAGAAAGTAAGCAGTGTTTGTTTACCCAGCCTTCTGGGCCCTGAATGTCCTATCTCTAGCGATAAGGATGTCTCCCTACCCCCCAGTTCAGGGAGGGTAACTTTCTATTTTGTTTTTTGTTTTTTATCCTCACCCAAGGACATTTTCCATTTTTTGTTCAGATAGAGTGGGGGGGGGGGTAGAGAGAGAGAGAGAGAGAGAAACATCGACGGGAAAGGGACACATCGAGTGGCCTCCACCCACGCAACCCAAACAGTGCCAGGGACAAACTGCAACCAAGGTACATGCCCTTAGCGGGAACTGAACCCAGGTCTTTCTGGACCTCAGGCCGATGCTCTAACCACTGAGCCAAACTGGCCAGGGCCAGGGAGGGTAACTTTCAAGTGAGAGATTTATTTCCTGCTTTATGGGAGACAGAGAGGAAGGCCACAGTGTCCTTGTACAGGCTGTTTCTCAAGTAACTTTGCTCCCCTACAAAATCATGGTACTGCACCTTTAGGTGAAGATTCTGGATGAGCATGTAGTGGGCAGAGGAGTGCTCCTGTAAGCTACATGTACACTAGAATAATTAGCAACAACTTAGGTATATACTGAAGTGACGAAAACTACACAAGTTATCTCATAAATCCCTAAGCCAGATCCCAAAAACCCTCCAGTGCCACATACCACGAGACGAAGCATGTCAAAGGAAAATCTGGAGTGGAGAAAGTGGTCTTCACTGATTGCTATTAAAATATCTTTTTTGCCCTGGCCGGTTTGGCTCAGCGGTTAGAGCGTTGGCCTGCGGTCCGGTGAGACCCGGGTTCGGTTCCCGCTAAGGGCATGTACTTCGGTTGCAGTTTGTCCCCGGCCCTGGTTGGTCATGTGGGTGTCAGCCACTCGATGTGTCCCTTTCATGTCGATGTTTCTCTCTCTCTCTCTCTCCCTCTCTCTCCTTCCCACTCTATCTGTACAAAAATTGGAAAAATGTCCTCGGGTGAGGATAAAAAAAAATCTTTTTTTTTTCAAATTTTATGAAACATATGATCATATGAACTCATTGTGAGGACTCCCGGGACCTGAGGTGGGGCTAGTGCAAGGGGGAGGCCCGAAGCATCCGCTTCTTTAGCTTCGCAGGAAACCCAGCTCTGGAGACACGCATCCCACAGCGGTGGCAGGGAGCCAATTTCGTCTGATGCCTCAGTTCTTGTTTGCAAGGAAGAAAATACGTTTGGGATTCTCAAGAAATTTAAATGGATAGTTAATTCCTTACAAAGACTTGTTTTTACTCTACTTTCAATTTAATTCTTTTCTTTAACCAGTCTTGTTGCTTTGAAGAAGGAGGAGCATCTAGGCTCTTAAAGAAAAGCAAAGGATTTATAACTTGGATGAAAAAAATGTCTGTATATTGGTTGTTTATTCTATGATATTGTGACATTTAAGAATATTTTTTTAACATTTTAGCCATACCCCCAACTTTGATTTTCCCATGTGGCATGACCGTTTCAGATATGCTTTAAGCCTGAAAACAATACAAGTTAAAGGCTTTTGTAGCAACTAGCTACAGATTTGTTTCTATTCTGTCTTGTTTGGGTTTCACCATGGATCTAAGCACGCACTGAGCTCATTCAATGCTTAGGCCCATTAATCTTCAGATCAAAGGAGAGGCCATCCTCTCCCTAATGGGTTTGCAGAGCAGGGGCAGTATCATAAAACAACTTGTGCTGCTCACAGATCAGTGTGTGCCATTTCCCTGACCCCTGGCCTAGTGTGGATGGCTCCTTAAATGCCCAAGGGAAGGGAAGGGAGAGGAGGCAAAGCATCTGCTTGTCATCTCCTCACTGTTGGTCATTAACGCTAACAGGCCTGGCCTTGGAGCGCTGTGAAATGAACCGGGCTTGTTTTTGGAATTCCCATGTCTTCCACTCCGTGTCTTGGGCTTGACCACTCAATTTCCTTTAGAGTCCAGAGTTCTCTTTCTGTATTGTCCTTCTCCCTTCTAATAGCCTGTTTTGCAAGAAGATATCTGATTTCAAAGAAAACAAAAGCAAAATGCCCACACTCTGGTGCAAATGAATGTGTCTTAGTGTCCCATTAACACAGTTGTTTACCAACACTGGCTGCACATTCAAATTACCCAGGGCCTTTTTTAAAAATGCCAATACCTGGGCCATAATCCAGGTTAACGAAAGCAGACATTCTGGAAGTTGGGCACAAGGATGGGGATTTTTCTAATATCTCCCCAGGTGAATCTATTTTGTTATTATATTTTCACAGAAAAAGGAAACAAAGAAAAAATCTGAAGCTCCATTTGTGGGCTCTCAGGCCACCGGAAGCAAGGGAGTTATTTTAGGGACCAGGTAACAGCTTTCCCTGCAGCCTTAAAATCCCTTCAGCATGATGGATATTTTCCACTGATAGACAGAGCCTGCTCTAAAAATGCTTCACCTTAGCAATCAAAATAGAATAAAACAAACCAATGGAAGTGCCAATATGTGACAACAGTTCAGTCCCACAACATCTATAAGAAATTGCTTTCGTATTTCATCTGCAGATTTTGTCAACTGTATTTTCTGCATGTCACAAATAGTGACAGTAAATGTCATTATAGGACAGAAATGTTATTTCTCTGTTCATGATGTTTATTAACAAACACTACGTGAGCACCCCTTGCGGACACCATGTACTGGGAACCATTAGGAGATTAGAAAATAATGACAGAGATAATCTCCCCTTAGCTATAAAATCCTATGATTCTAAGATAAATCTCTGCTTGGAATGCAGAACACTCGAGAAAGGGGATTTTGGAGAGGGGATTTTGCATGCATGAAGGACCAAACTGTCTCTTTTATGATCTGCCTGAAATTCTCATTTCTTCTAGCTGCGTCAGTGTAAGTTTCATGAACTTAACTTGAAAAGGGTGACGTTATACTAGAGCACTGGCTGCACCCTTGGCATATACTGTCACCAGTGCACCTAGAACAGATTTATCAGGGTTTAGGACTCTGAGGAGGAGTTCTGTAAGGGAAGAAGGGACCAGAGAAATCCAAGGTTCTCAAGGTAATAATGTGAACCCTGAGGACCAGGAAAGGACACAGACGCCAACAGAAAAGAGAAGAGCCGCAGGAGGATGCCGCCAGAGGGCAGGAGACTGGGGTCAGAAGAACATGGACATCACACCCTCCGCCTTCTTCCCCGGAGTCACCTTGAACAGGCCCAGCCCCCTCCCCCTTCCCGTGTATTCAGGATAATCACTGCTGGTTTGGACCCTTGGGCCTTAATTTAACCTTGACTGTTCATCAGTTTACACCTGGCTTCTTGCAGCCTGGCTCCCCCTGCTGCCTGCTCCTAGTTCCCGCCTACTTCGGCCTTTTACCAGCTGTCCCACCATGGCCTGACCCCAAATATAGGGTAAGATAATGCCCTTTTAAAAGAAAGTCGAAAAGAGTGAACCGTGGGTCACTAGGAGGCAAAGAAGTGAGATATGTGTAGGTAATAGTTGTAAGGAATCGGGGGCGTCCCCGAATAAAACAGAGAAGAGACTGGAGAGCCAATCAGCCGAATAAACAGGGATCAGGCTTTATTGGGTGCACTCCGGGCGGGTTCACAGACTCCGGGGGTCTAGTCCTAGAAGCCGCGCTCAATGTAGGGGCTCGTGTCTTTTATATCTGCCTGTTGTAGCTGGGATTTGTCCCTTAGGGTTTGGCCCTGCGGGGGCTATGCATGGAGCCTCTGGAATGTGAATCGATAAGAGCAAGATGGGAGTTAATCTATAGGCTTGAGGCAGGCCGTTCAGGGGGGGAGACAAGGCTGAGCAAGGAGACAATGGTCGAGCACTTTGCCTGGCGCCAGTCCCCAGGCCATCGGACAATAGTAATAGCAATAGCAATAGCAATAGCAATAGCAATAGCAATAGCAATAGCAATAGCAATAGTCGTACTAAGACACTGCATGTTTACTAGTGAATAGTAATAATGATAACGGTGATCACAAAGTGCTCCCATTTCCAGGAACATACTCTTCCCTCTCCCCTTCCCTTCCAAGGGATATTTCTATACTATTTTGTCTAGAAAGAGAGTTTTTAGAGCACATGTTAAAACCTCACATTAACCTCCTGTCTGGATTGAAAAGATTTGAGTAAGAGCTTCCTGCTATTAAGTGGGTGATACCGGAATCCAAAATAATACTTTTATCATGTTTATGTAGAAATTCAGACATTAATATAATCTGTAGAATTATGGAATACCTATATATCAGGTAATTTTATGATATTGCTTTTACCCGCTACCTCCGCCAATAAAAATGAGCATTTGTTAGAACCAATGCTTTCATATCTTGTGATATCATTATAATTAAACATTAAAAACCCTACTTATGTTCTGAAATATTCTCTACCCCAAACCAAAGCATTAAATCATGTCTGCTTTTAGTTCACTACATTTAATCTATATAAAATAAAATACTTAGAATGTTGCAAAGTAGGCCTGGATTGGTGAAACGAGCTGAAATTCCAGAATTTCCCAATCAGTGGTAAATTCTGCTGAGAGAGATTCTAAAATGAGGAAT